TTATCAATTGTTAGAACTGTGTTTTTTATTTTTTATCACAAAATTTGGCAAGGAGAGTAGATGCTTCAAGTAAGTTAATTGTGTAATTTGTTAGTATGAAATATGAAATTTAGTCATTTCTTACATTCTCTTTTAATATATTAATCTTTTGTTATATTTGTGTTTTAAAATTAAGAGATATATTAAATAAGTTATGCAATGAGTCGTGTATGCCTTACATGACCCATTTAATATTGTATTAAATAGATTAAATGAATTATTTTGTGTCATTTGTTTCATGAGATTCATGGGTCATTTGTTTCATTTGCAGGATCAGGCTATTGGAATTTTTTAAAAACAGTTTAAAATTAACAAATATGTTTTTCTATTTATTATTTTTAAAATATATCAAATATTTTCAAGTTATCAAACGAGTACAAAAGTTATACATAAATACCTTTAAGCTTAAAAGATAAATAATAAACAAAAATATTTACCAAAAGAGCCATTATTTATTTACCAATTGTTAGAACCCTGGTTTTTTATTTTTTCTTCTCCTCCTCCTCATGTGTACAAGACACAAAATTTGGCAGGCAGAGTAGATACTATACTACTAGTCTACAACCTTTCCTTCAACTAAATTAATTGTGTATTTTATTAATATGAAATAAACAAATTTAGTCATTTTTTACGTTTTTTTTTTAATATTTTAATCTTTTGTAATATTTGCACTTTAAAATTAAGACATATATTAAATAGGTTATTAAATGGGTCGTGTATGTGTTACATGACCCATTTAATATTGTATTAAATAGATTAAGCGAATTATTTTGCATTGTCTATTTAATTTTAATACCGGGACTTGTACAGTTTGTCCAATATAATTGAATATTCTTATATTGACACGAAGCAAGAATATAATAGATTAATATGACCCCTCATACTTACCAAATTGTGCTAAAAACTCATATAGATATGATAAGAGAACAATTTAAATGATATTATTTCACAACTTCTCCTTTTTCCATATTTAATGAAATTTTTTGACCTGGTTTAATATTTCTCTTTCTTTAATTTAACCTTTTCTTTCTATTAGTCAAAAATTGGGTTAATTTTCACCTACATCCCCTGCTCTTTGCCAATATTTCACTTATACCCCTTTTACGTTTCATAATTCCACCTGCCACCCTTCTAATTGACGGCCGTCCTTTTTACTAACAAAGAGGTGTGATTTTACGATATTGCAGTGGAAGTGGAAGTGGCGGAAGTCGGTGGTGATGGCGGTGGAGTGGAGGTGGCAGTGGTGGTGATGACGACGGCGGTGATGTGGTGGAGGTGGAAGGTAGTGACAGTGGTGGTGGTGATGGTGATGGTGGTGGTGGTAGTGGTGGTGGTGACAATACGTGGAGGTAACTCTGGTGGTGATGGCGGCGGTGTGGTGGTGGAGGTGTTGGCAGTAGAAGGCGGCGACAGTGGTGGGAGGTGATGGAATGGAGGTGGTAATGGTGTTGATGATGATGGCGGTGGTGTGGTGGAGGTGGAAGGCAGCGACAATAGTGGTGGTGGTGGTGACATTGGAGGTGACTCTGATGGTGATGGTGGTGGCAACGTGGTGGTGGAGGTGTTGGCGGTAGAAGGTGGCGACAGTGGTGGAAGGCCGTCGATGTAGCGGTGGTGGCAACAGAAGGCGGTGGTATTGGAAGGCAAAAACGATGGTAGTTTTTGGACTTAAAACATGATGGTTTTTTGGAACTTGATTTTTTACTTCAAAATTGAATGATCATTTTATAGATTTAGTTGTGTAATTGATTTTTATTGTTAGGCCATCTGCACCAGCCTCTCCGGATTTTGGTTCTCCAAAAATGCCACGTCAGCAATTCCAAGAGCCACGTCAATAACTTTTGCTCTCCAGAAACATGCACTCCATCAGGCTTTCCGAATTTTTGCTCTCCAAAAATATATATATATATAATTTTTTTTTTAAAATTTCCCTAACGGCCATATTTCTAACTGCAATATTCCTAACAGTTATATTTGTAACGGCTATATTTCATATATTATAATTTTATTATGTAATGATTTTTTAATATTTAAAATGATGAAATTGTTTTTCAACGGCAATATTTTTGCAAATTATTAAAAAAAACTAGGATTAATATTATAATTTTAAACAATACAGTATCTATTATGAATTAAAAACAAATTAAACAAAATAATTAAAAATAACTTAAACAATACAATATCTTAAATTGGAATAAGAAAATAAATAGGCTAAGGATTACAAAATCCTATGGGAATTTTGGGGCAGACTGTGAATGCAAAGATGCCAATATCTCATTTTGTTGTGCAATAATCCAAGCTTTCTCCGCTTCTGTTGGTGCCGAATTTGGATCTGTTAACATGATCTCATTCTTTTTAGCTCTTTGTTTGTCTAGAATCTTTAGTTGTCTTGTCTTCTCTTTCTTCGCTTTTCTTACCTCTCGTGCCACTTGGGCATCCTTCATTTTCTCCTGATGACTCTCATAACAGTATTTAAGATCGTTAAAATTGGAAATGAATGAATTTTGCAATTCAAATGCTGAATTAATTTTTGCTAGGTGCTGCTTCGCTGCTTTTCTTCCTGCTGGTCATTGTAGTTGTTGATATTCTTCCACACCGGGTGAATCATTTTCCCCCATGTGCGTTGATTCTTCAGTTGAAGCTCCGTCTGTTATGATGCGACTTGACGGATTAGATCGTAATGAGTGCCCAACAGACTTATTAATGTCAAAGTCAAATCCACTCCTCTTCTTCGGCTGTTTTTTTCTTTTTTCCTTTTTCTACTTGTTCGGTATAATGTGAATGCCATTTATTGTTATACTTCAAGATCTCCCAGCAACTTTCTAACTTAAATTCACCATCTATTTAGCTACGAAACAGGTCTTTAGCTGCTATCATCTACACGAAAAAGTTAACAAAAATTAAAAGCCGATTGTTTAAAATATTTACGAGTTATATTTAAACAATAAATAACTCACCATATTATCAGTGTTGAAGTAGCTGGGACGATTCGTTTCGATGTTAGTCATGCACTCGAAAAATTTGCTGATTTTTTGTTGGATCATCGACCAATAATTCATCAAAGCTCTCGGATTTCGGTCAATTCGAGGAAAACCAATATGTTGTACATATCGTTCTAGGATTCCCTCCCATAACTTCTTCTTACTTTAGTTTATCCCCGTAATCGCATCAGTGGTAATGGACATCCATGCCCTATATAAAAGCCTCATTTTCAGCCTTGGTCCAATTCGTATTTCGGATAACCGGTTGTGTTTGGCAAATGTTTTGAGTTACTTAATTGTGGAACACTAGTACCACAATATTGATGAGAAGGTTGGGATGGTTGATGAGAAGGAAATTGAGATTCTCCTCCATAATAATTAGAGTTTAGTTCTGACTGTGAAGAAAAATTAATATTGTTTTCGGGAAATGGCAAAAACTCATCGTTTGATGGGTTAAATTGGGTGTTATAATAAAATGGATGTTGAGGATCAATGGAATCGAAATGAATTTGAAAATAATAGCTAAGATTGAGAAAATAGAAGAAGAAATAGCTTGAATGATAGATAATAGAGATGTGTTAGATGTGACGAATGATGGTGGGAGTTGGGGTATTTATAGAAGTCAAGTGATTTAAAAAAATCTAATTTTAATTTTTTTTTTTGAAAAAAGTTAAAAAAAAATTTGAATTTTTAAACTTTTTTTAAAAATTATAGTCGTTAAGGCACTGTTTGTGTTAGCCAAACAGTGCCTTAACGGGCAAATACATTATTTGTGGTAGATATTTAAAATTTAAAGTAAAAAAAATCTTAAAAAAATTTTAAGGGGAAAAAATAAAAAAAAAAGGTTTTTTAATTTATTTTTGGCCCAAATAAATTTTTTTTGAACAAACAGTGCCAAAGCAATATATTTTTTATTTAATGAATTATTTTATTTTTTTAAAATGAGCTCAAAATAACCTATTTTTGGGTTTTTCAAAAAAAAAAAAACCATTCCGAGGCACTGTTCATGAAGCTTTTTTTTTTTTTAAAAAAAAAGCTTCACCAAAACGTCGCCGTTTTGGTCAAGCAAAAAACAAAAAAAAAATTATCACAATCGAGCTCGGCCTTGCGGTATTCTGCGAGCCGGTTGGGACACATTTGGCCCATTTTGCTTGCCAAAACCCAGTTCCAAGAGCCCGCTACGGATGCTCTTAGGAATGAACCGATGAAATGATTATTTTACTTTAAATTTCATATCAAATAGAGAAGTGATTAGAATGGACATTCCATTCTTGTGTACCAGCACAACATAATTTCTTTATGCTCCACGAGACTACCCTGGACTGGTTAGAGAAGTAGACTGGACTAATTAAGAGTCTGTTTGGAATGTATTATGACACTATTTTTCTAATATTGATTTTTAAATTTGGATCCATATCATATTTGGAATGACTGATATTGATTTGAAATAGTTCATCAAATTTTTCAGCCTAAATTCATATCATCAAATTGGTGATGTTATTGTTTTGATATTGTGGCGGAGAATTAAAACAAATTTTAGAATTTCTCAATAAATGTTCATTATCAAACATGTTTTTGATTTCTATTCAAAGTACTCTTACACTGAAACGATTGCTTTGACATTGACAAAAGTATAACAGAAGCAACGTATAGCATGCCCAACAAACGTGATTTAACCCAAAAATCTTAGGCCGATTTCGTGGGGTGAAATTTGACTTTTCGATTTGCTCAAGGATCGGATCAGCAGGTTAAGATTGCATTACATTCTCCAATAAAAATGGAATATTTTCAGTCTGGTAGAGTTGGATCTCGAGGTAGACTTTGGTATTCACAAATTTGAGACTCAATTTCGTGCCACTCAAACGTGTAATCGTAACATACAACTATTATTGAAAACGGTAGACATTTTTATTCTAATAAATCAAGATCTCGAGATAGACCTTTAGTACAGTAGTATTTACAAAGTGAAAGGTTAACAATCTTGGCCGGGTTATTTCAACTTCTTTTGGGTCGGGTCTAAAAACCGTTGTCGTGGTTCTACATCGGGTTGGTGTGGTATGGGTTACATTTAAATTTTAAACCTCACTCGGCTCTTCCAGTCGATGAAGCAACAAACCCTAATGCATCAATTTGTAGGTGTTGAAGAGTGATTAAATTGGAGCCGAGCTCCGTTTTATTTCTGGTGATGAAGATGTATGTACTTAACCCTCTCTAAACCCTAGTTCCTATTAATCAAAGTTTGATTGAGAATCATTTTTTTTCTTTTTGGAAACAATGAATTGGTTCTCTGCAACTTATTTTCATGTTTTATTTCTTCCAGTGATTTACTTTCTATTTACTCTGATTGGATGTGTTGCAGACTCGAAGCTAGAAATGGGTTACTTACCAACTTTGAAGTGCTTCAATTTCTTCAATCTAAAGGAGCTAGACAGGATCACACACGGATTGCTGAAGTTCCACCATCTGAGCTCAAGGTTGGATTAATTTATTTATTTTTAGGTATTTACTTTTGAAAAGTAATGGAAATTCCTGTTTGGCTGATTTTATTTTTTATTTTTTTGAACTTGCAATTATCAACTTCAACTAATGAGGCCAATTTTTAAGTTTATTAGTCATTTGCACATTCAGCCATGAAATTGCATTAAACAGTAAAACAGAATAGAGAAGTGGTTTGTAAAGTTGTATGTAGAAAGGGCATTAACTAGTGACTTAGTTGTTCGAGTGCTCCCGGAGGTGTGCCTGTGTTCGAGTACCCCCTATTTTGCCGGGGAAAAAAAAAAAGAGTTGTTTGTAGAAAAACTAAAATGCACTAGTTGGGTACAAGAATGTACCTGTTGATTTGTTTCCGAATGCATTGGTTGGAAAATGAGATGTATTGGATAATAACTTTTATCCACACTTGTACTAGTTGGTTCTAGACTTGCATTGTTTGTTTTTTCGGGTCTAATTTTGAGAGCACTTTGAAAGTTTCATTTATTCTTAAACCATATTGTATGCAATAAAAAAAATATGCAAGCATGTCAACAACACTTTTTATATGTACCTAAAACTACTTGTCGTAAATGTGAATGACGAACTTGTTCAAGATTCACTTGCCTCTATAGGTCTTCCAAGATCTCGAACATTGTTTTTGATCTCTTTGACTTAGTTTGACACTTTAGATACTTTACAAGAATGAGATACAACACATGGCTTTTGTAACAAAATTTGCCAATTTTGAGACTCTAAGTTCTAACAATTTCCCCCTTTCGTAATTTCGTGATAAAACCCGAGTCCTAAATGTATGTCAAGTAACCTAATTGTAGCAGAGAAATTTTTATTACATGATTTATGAAAATTGACTCCAAAGGAATTCACTCTAGGCTTGCATGCTTATGTCTTGCAGCTTTGTAAAAGCCTTAGTAAAACAAAATGCAAATTAAAGCAAAAAATTTGGTTTTCTTCTACTTCATTCAATACCATCCTTGTCATGATGCTTATGTTCAATTAACCATGCATGCATCATTTTTATTTTTTATTTTTTCATATCCTTTCTCTCCTTTTGTCACAAAATTGGCAATTAGTGCAATAAGAGGAAGAAAAAGAAAAGCAATTGAACACATAATTGGAACCAAAACATGACTATCTAGAAGTAAATAACACGGTACTTGGAGCATTCAGCCTGCTCTCCAGCAGCGGTAGGTGTTCCAACCCAGGTTGCATTCTCATTCTCATTATTCCTCAATTCTGTCAATCCTCTCGTTGATCTCATCTAAAGATTTAGAGATGCTATCCGAAAATGCAACTACTCCTTGCTTCAATTGATAAACTTTGGTACGAAGTTAAAGGAAGAAGTTTTAAGGTTAGACTGAGGGTCCTGTGGTTCTGGAATAGAAGGATTCGATCCTGAATTGGTGGAGGGATTGGGATACTTGGGGTCACAAACTTTTTGAAGGATCTAAAGGCACTCATTGACTTATTCATCTGCATTTACAATGTTTTGACTTTGTTATTTTGTGACCTAAGTGCTCCAAAAATCCAGTGGTGATCAATAAAATGGTAAATTGCATGCTTCCTGTTAGACGCCTGTTCTAAATTTATGTACCGAAGCAACTCTTATCAGTAACAGGCATCTAACTGTTATTTTCTCACAGTGCGTGCAAAATAAGTCTCCACAACCACTCCTAGAAGGAGAAGCAGGAGGAGGCTTTGCAACTTTAGATTTGGTCAAGGGGGAAGATTTCCTCTAATAAGTACCAAAATCGAATTCAGTCTTATCTTCACTAAACTTAGCACTTTGTCAACCTTCTTAGATCCATCTGAAAACGAAGATTTTTTTCGTAACTATTTCAGTTCGACTTGATGCAAATCAATCTTATCACTAAAAAATTTTCAAGACAGCATAGCTTGATCAATTTCTTGTCCAAGAAACTCTTCTCAGAAAAATCTTCAGTGGTTTTGACTATTTTGAATTTTCTTTCTAGTAGTACCTTTCACTTTCAATCAGCTCATGTTTCTGTTGGAGCTTTGTTCACCTTCACATTCACAGTCTCTTCAAGCAACTGTTGAAAAGCTTTCTGTGGATTATTCTCTCTCCACAATCTTCATTCTGAATACAACACCATTATCAGAGGAATGTGGTGACCTTGAATGTGCATTGTTGCAAATTAAAACCACACTAGGAGAGACATTTGTATTGACAAAATCAGTCAAAGTAGCATTCATAGCCCTAGATACTTTCTTACCCTTGTTACTCTTACTGAGGAGTTAGGAGATTCATTTGCCGCTGTTACTCTTTTGGCCACAACTTGAACAATCAGCATCAGAATCTTTATTTTCGTCATTTCTCTCTTCTGATTGTTTTGCTTTTGACTCAGAGAAGATTACTTTCTTAAGCTTCTTTCCTTCCGTATTTTGCTTAAGAGACCTCCAAAACTTCCTAGCCAACAAAGCAATTTTTTCAATGCAGTTTTAGAGCTACACTTTGTTTCTCCTAGGTTGAGGAAATCTGGAAATTTGAGTATAGAAGTTGAGGAAGTGATTATATATGCATACTCTAATCCTTTCAATATTCTTGCTCTCCTCAATGATTGTGACCTTAGATTAAAATAGAAGGTTAAGATCTCAAAATCTTTAAAAGTTTTTTTTTTTTTTTTTTCCTTAGGTATAACTTCTTATAGGTTGAATGCATTATTTACAATGCGTTCAATTTAGCATAAAACTGACCAAAGGTCTCATATTCTTCTATTCTGATCATCTCAAACCCAGTGGTCAACAATTGTAAATTTGAGAACTCAACTCTGCTGGTTCCTTCATGCACAACCTCTAAAATATCCAAGGCTCTATAGTTGTGGAACACTTCAAAATTCGAAATAAGTCACTAGGTGATACTGCTTTCATAATAAATTTAATAGCTTTACCACTGGGCTATTAACCCAGCTGGTACAACCTCTCCTCCCTCAAAAGGGTGGTGTGAGGGTTTCGAGCTCCATAGTGGGCATTTGTGGGTGTGTGTATTTATCTAACCAAAGAAATAAAAAATAAAAATTATAGATTTAAAAGCTTTAGAGTTTGCATTTCGTAAGGCATATTCTTCTTTAGCCTAGCACCCAAATAGCCATAAAAAGACCTTCAAATAAAGGAAATAAAAAATCATTAATAAAGAATCCATTGTAAAAATCTTTATCAAAAAAGATATTTTAATTAAAAACTTTTACCAGAAAATCAACCAAAATTTTAAGTAAGCTGCTTCCCATTTTTTTTTTTTTTTTTTGTGGGGTGGGGGGAAGTAAAAGTAACCTGTTTTGATACCAAGTGAAGGTGGCACAAGTGGAAACCTATTAAAAATTCAAAGTACGAAAATCAGACTTGAGCGGGGGATAATGGGTAAAATGAATTAAGATCAGACTTGAGAGGGAGATAATGGGTAAAATGAATTAAGACTTGCAATTATCAATTCAATTAATATAGCTAATTTTAGGTTTACTAGTCAGTTGCACATTTGGCCACACAAGCATTGAAAGCTAGTAAAAGGACTTAAAAGTGGCACGGTATATGTTTTTACTTGAAAAACTAGATCAGAAAAACCCTAGAGACTTCCATTTTCATTGAGAGAGAGAGAGAGAGCAACAATAGCTACGAGACCTATTGCATGGTCTCCACAAAATCAATGCAGGGATGCTATGGAAATCAGCTGCTGAGTTGTTCACTCTGATGCTGGGGCACGAATGTAAGAACAACTCGACTACTCACACAGTCACACTAAAGTGCCTGTGTGAATAAAAATCACGCTTACAATCTCACTAATCCCAACGTAGTCAATCAGATGCAAAATTGAGATTAAGTGCAAAACTGTGCTCAAATATGCTTATATGCATGTTTGCTCCGTGTATTCTCTCTTTTCTTCTATATCTGATGCATGAAAACATGCATTTATGAACAAAATAACCAAAAGATATGCTCAAAAGTCTTCCAATCTAATTGGGAAATTCTTAGAAAGTTGTGCAAAAAAATAGAGTTTTGAATTAGATTTGAGCTGGAATTCATATGCAAATTAGAACTGTTTCAACTTGTATAAGTAGGAATTTAAAATGAACCAGTAGATAAGTCACTAGAATGTAGTGTACCTTTAGATTTTTTTGATTTCAGTTTCTAATTCCAGATTGATTTCCTAGTTCTGTTACAACTCCTATTAAAAACTAAACTAAACAAATTATTTTCCCCAACTACTTGGGGTCGGATAACATGAATTCTATTTTTTCATTCCTCTCTATGCAAGGCACATGTTAAAATATCATTTTATCTAAACTTTATACAAAGAAGACCACTCCAATTAAAAAGACTTTCCTTAACAAAAGACTACCAGGTGGCGACAAGAATGTATCGGTTGATTTGTTTCTGTCTAGAAATGCATAGGTTGGAAAATAATATGTACTGGTAGATAATCTCGTGTCTAAACTTGAACTGGTTGGTTTTAGATTTTGTACCGCTTGATTTTTGTCTAGTTTCAAGGATACTTTGATATTTTTGGTGACTCTTAGAACCAAATTGTATTCACTTAAAAACATATGCAACCATTGGTTTTTTTATGCATTCCTAGAATACTTTTTCTAATGTGAGTAACCAACATGTTCAAGAGTCATGTATCTCTTTAGATCTTCAACAAGATCTTGAATATCTTCTTTCGATCTCTTTGTCTCACTTTGACATTTAGAAATGAGCGAAATAAAAATATAACGCATTTATAACGAAATTTGCCAACTCGAAAATACTATGTTCTAATATTTATTTTGTCAGGTTTATGATTATTTGGAGCGAACTGCTGCTTCCAGTCAAACAAAAGAGAGCATCGAGGAGTTCGTGGGAAAATGTAAAAAGTACCACCTCAAAAAAGCTGAGATTGTCAGTATCATCAACGTTAGACCATCATCCGTTGTTGAAATCTACCCGGTAATTCTTTCAGTGCTATTAAAATTCATTTTATGTACTTTTTAACATTTTCTTCTTGTTGTTGTAGAGCGATTGTTTTAAGTCCAAGGATCCTATACATATATATATCTATATATATATATGCTTCCCAGTAATTGCTTCACCTTATTTACTAAATTTTCTCATGTCTTGGGTGACAAATTTTGTGCGCAAATATAATTGAATCTGTAGCTTGGAAGGCTATTGCTTCTGTTATGATGAAAGGGTTTACAAACCCTACAATTTTCAAGAAAAAATGTAGCACATTTCCATTTTTTTTTTTTTATCAATATTTTCAATACGTTTTCCTTTTACTCTTTATGCTCCTTTTGGTTAAAAGGATATGGAAATTTGGAAAATGAAAGCAACGGATGGCAGAGAGGATGGATGAGGCATCCCTAGGGAGGGAATTTTTTTTCTTTCTTTTTTATTTTTTATTTTTATTTTTTCCGGTTGAGATGGCGCCTATTTTTTTTTGGTTTGAAGGAAATGAAGGAGAGATTATATATATTTTTAACTAGTATACATTCATTTTACAATTTGGCTAAAATTAGTTAAGAGCAAGAATGCCACTTCACAATATATATATATGTATGTATATTTTGTATTGACAAGAAAATTATGCCTAACGTTCTTAAAACAAATATAAAATGCAGTTCCAATGAATATCGTTAATTGATGGAATATGACTTCATGCCTCTTTGTATGATTGATGATCATGTTGTTGGCAATCTTCAAGTTTTACTTTTCTAAAGGTGCTTTTTTTTTGTCTTTCGCTTGCTTTCCTTGATTTATCCTTAAGTTGGGCGCGCATCTTCTTATTTATTATCTACTTATCGCTCATATGTTAGCAGATGATAGCGAAATGTGACGAACGTTTGGGAGAAGGTGTTGAAGAGCTGGTAGAGATGGTAGGAGAGGTTTTACCCTCTCCCCCAACCAAACTGGAGTCTAACGATGGAAATGGTGATAACGAAGACGAAAATCCAGATGAGCAACTAGAGGAGACAAGTTAGCGCGGCAAATTCTTGATTGATAAAAATAGAACATAGAGAGAGAGAGAAAGCTCTATTGTTTAATCTAAAAATTCCTGATGTCTCTAGTTTTGGAGTTTGATTTGAACAGAGTTCAGTCTTTTTTTTTTTTTTTTTTTTTAACCTAGCAAACTAGGGGGAGGGAGACTCGAACACGGGCACACCTGCTCGGGGGATGGGCGCTTGCAACAAGTCTATTAATTCTTTCTGTAGGTATTGAAACATGTATGTATAGGTTGTTTTAGGAACAATACTGATTAATATTAACCATATTTGATACCTGGGTATTCGGTTTGATAATCTGCTACTAATTCTTCTTCTGCTTTTGGTAAATCAGAAGGCAATCAGGTGATGCTTTGCAAATGTAGTTCTTAGCATCGGCCAACACCAACATTTACTTTTTACTTTTACTTTATTTAGTTAAGAAGTTTATTATTTTAAAATTCTTTAAACTGATCCTTGGTGCAAGAAAATTTAGGCAATATCTCTTTAAGAATGTAGAATTAGTATATAGATTTCTCAAATTTTTTTCAAAAATAAAAAATATACTATAAATTTTGTATTTTAATTATTACTAATGCTATGTGTTTGCTAATATAGAAAAAAAAAAATTATTTATAACTCAAGCATCTCCTCTTATGAAATTACATTTTTATTATTCAACATTATATTGAATACATTCTATAAGTATACACGCATAATAGCATATAAGTATACAAACACTTCAAAATCTTTTTCAATCAAATTTTAGATTTTGTCGCTTTTACGCTTTCATCCTTGCACAAGGTTTATATGAATTATTGTATTAGTATTTCTAGTATGAGAAAGGTAATTAAATGCTCAATTCACTTTATTGACTACAGTTTTCTTTTTCCCCCTGGGGGAGAAGAGGGGCAATGTTTTGTCCACCTAAGTCTAAACATTTTCTTAGGCATATGAGAGGTTTAAGGACCAGGCCATTACAAGTACAGTTTATAATATAAACAGTGTCAAATTGGAGTAGTCTACTAAAATAAATAATTACATTCTTAAGTGTCATTTTGAAATCGGGATTATATGGTCCCGGTCAATCCCAACCTGACACGAAATCAGGAATATGTGGTTCCAACCAATCACAACTTGACACGAAAGTAAAATTTTGAATAAAGTTAACACATTTATTTGTATATCGAGTTGTGATTGGCCGGAACGATATAGTCCCGAACCATGTAAAAATTTCTGTCCTGCCTTAACACTGATATCGCACATAGTTTAAAGAGCCTGCTTAAAACAAATACTATTCACAGTAATTCTCCCCAAAAACAGATAAACAAAGTGAAATAAGGTGGATTCTTAGATTGATCATTTTTTTAAGGCACTCCTCAAATTTGCAACTAATATATATATATATATATATATATATATATATATATATATTAGTAAATTGTTTGTGTTTGTTAGGAGATGGACAATGGAAAGAAACTAAAATCTGAATTGAATTGCAAAACTTTTATGACATAAGAATCCTAAAGAAAGAAATGGTAAACTATAGTACAGTGAATTGGTAATATTATTCACTCTCCAGATTTAAATGGTTAAATTCTCTCATACCTCCATAAATTCCATGCACTCACAGGGAGAGTGTCAAACAAAAAGGGGAAAATGAAGAAAAAGGAAAAGAAAAAGAGTGCGAGAAGCTAAAATTGACAACAAAAGTTTTATTCATGATTATAAAGAGAACAAAAATCAAGCAATTTAATGGATCATTGTTATTATAGAAATTAGGACTTGTTTGGGTGTTTTCTAATAAAGCATCCACTGCGTTTAGTAAAATTAGAAAGATAAGAGAAAGTGAATAAGAAAAAGGTTTATAAGCTCAAAAATTATGGAACTTGCTCAGAATCTTACTAATGTTGGGGTCACTGGTATGAATTCAGGGCGTAACGCGCTTGCGTGACAGAACATGGTGAGTTAAAGCCGAAGGGGATGAGCCCAAGGGTAGCCAAGAATTATTCTTCGAGGATGGGGTTAGTGGACTTAACCCTCGTGAGTAACTCCTTGTAATCGGCCTGTGACTCGTGGAGGTTCTCATTCCTGCTGACTTGAAGTGCTTGTTGGGTCCTATGCATAGAAGCTGCCCGGGTCCTAGGGGGCTCTCTGGTGTTTGATATTTTCTTTTCTTTCTCAGTAGTTCCCACAATAGGTTCTCATCCTTGGCTTGATCTTTCTCCATTCCTAAAAGCTTCACATAGTAGAACACACTGAATTATCAAGCTGTTTGAACTTTGTTAATTTCCCATCGAAAGACAAGCAAAACGGAATTCTCATGATTTGGGAGTGTATTGCTCTAATTAAGCACAAATGTTATGCTTTCCCATTAAATAAATATTGATGAAAAATTTGTTGCGACTCCAGAAACAAGCAATTTTTTTACATGTCCAACAGTGTCAGGATTGTCGTTTGCAAGATGCTGCTTAACTAAAGAGGTCTTCTGAAAAATAATAATAAAAATCATTGGACAGCACAACCAAGCAATGCAATAAATGAAATGCTTACCAAGAAATGATGACGAAGTATGTTTATGACGTCAACTAAGAAAAGTTCGAAGTCCCACACAATCAGTTTAATATGAACTGATCCAAACTGCGATCTTTTTAAACCAAAGAGTCATTGTTCTTGGGACTTATTATCCTAATTAGCAAGAAAATATGCTGACTAGATTGTTTATATATGCAATGGTTCACTTATGTGAGCAAAATTACAAAAAATTCCTAGGTTGGACCTATCAGAAACTGAAATGCAAGTTAGAATGCCCCCAAAGATATCACGGCCTGGAGAAAACTGAAGTTGCAAGACATACCTTGTGTAGGAGAGAATGTTCCCTGGTCTCTTTTTTGACTTCTAAGGAGAACTCAAGTCGTTCCTTCATTTTCCTTACTCTTTCTTCTGACTCCTTCAACATGGTCAAAGCCTCAATCTTCCTCTCCTCTGCTATTCTCGCGCTCTTTCTTGCTTTTTCCAGTTCTAGCCTTCTATCCATCATTGCTTCTCCCATCCCTTCCACTATGGTCAATAGTCTCGGACAGGCTCCACTGGTCATTTCAGTCTTAAGGACCTTGGCATACTCCACCATTGGACTACACATCTGTTCAGCCAGTTCATGCATTAGGTCTTCCACGCCACACTCGACTGAGCTGAGGGCTGCAGCCACATGATCAAATATAGCTTTTAGAAGTTTTGATGTGATAAGAAGGGTGCCACGGTTTTGACTTGATTGGTGAATAGCAGATGCATATGCAGTGGCTTTCTGGAAGAATTTGTGGATGCTAGCCCGATGGTCATCAAGAGTCTGAAGGATGTCATTTTGGCTAGAATTAACTTGGGTTTCAATTTTTCTAAGAAGCTGAACTAGCTGTGTCAGCTGCAGTCTTTGTTTCTGTATGAGCTCTTTGGCTGCCAAGGTGGCTTTAGTAGTGTAGCTATCTTCCTGCAGACTTTGAAAGGCTGGTGACAATATACATCCAAGAGCAAAGTAACACAATATTCAAAAGTTTGCGGTTACAGTATTAGTCACTGATTCGGGGTTAGAGATTTGAATAGATTGTGGTGTACCCAATTAGAATTGAACAAAACCTAAAGATACATTACATACAAGTTTAAAAAGCTAAAAAAAAAAAAAAATTAAAAAAAAATAATAAAAATTACAAAGTATACTGAACTAATCATGCCTCTTTTTATTCATTCTATTAGTCATTGCAAACCTAGATGAGACTCGGACTGAACTAATCATGCCTCTTTTTATTTCATCAGTACACAAGAATATTTTAATATTAGAACTCTGCAGTATTAACCCATATCCAAACACTTGTAATCTTGCTCCATTTTTTTTTTTTTTGAGAAATCCATTGCATTCCGGAGACAAGAAATTGGTACCCAGATTCTAATAAGCATTTCAGAAGCAGTACAAAAATACTGATCCACCACAACTATCGGAGTCATTCAACTAGACCATATAGTTAAAAGAATTCATGCATACAAGATACTTGAAATTATTTAATTGCATCAAAAATTGAAGTTTACAGCTTAATTCTGCACAAACATCTAAACTGATCCATCACAGAGGATCTAATAAGCATTTCATAAGCAGTACTAAGATACTGATCCATCAAAACAATCTGATATGCTCCTCTGCTAGGCATAAACAAAAAAATGATGCATAAACAAAAAAAAAAAATTCATGCATATGATATGCTTGAAATCATTTAATTGCATCGATTTTTCTTTTTCTTTTTTCCCTCTTTACAGCTTAATTATGCACACACGTAAACTGGATTGAATTGAATAGGTAAAGAAATGAAAGGATGGAAAAAACTAATTGATCCGGGAAAATTGTAAGCTCATCTGCTAAGCATTAACAATCATCTACTTTCCTTTTTCAATAATCAAATATTTACCTCCATCTTTCGAATTCGATGATTCTGATCACCTCGCTCAACAGTAGATGGTGAGGTCAACCGTGTTTTGGATCCGATTTTGCCTATCCGGCATCCCTGCAGAAGATTAACCAGAATTGTGAAAACGTCTATATATAATGTGTGTGTATGTAGAGAGAGGAATTAAATATATACATACATACATATATATATATAGAGAGAGAGTGAAATCTCGGAGATTACTTGAGGATTCGAATCAGTATTCATGAAAATGGTGCTGAATCTTCCCTCTTCAGCCATTTCAAAGGTCTTCAGACCTACGAGACTCATAAGCGGAATCGCTAAAGATGCGAACACATCTTCGGCCTGCGAAAACATCAATCCATCGAAATTTCAAACAGCTATACCAAATTCAAACCCGAACGAATCGATGATAGTTTCAAATTCACAAGTCGAAAAGGCGTGTTCTGAATTCTAGGGAATACGCTAAAGAACTGCGTGCTTCACTGTCAAGTTTGAAAGAAAAAAAAAACTGACTTACAGTGAAAGAAACTCGAATTCTGGATGCAAATTACTTCGATCAAACTGATTTCGATCTGAGATTTGAGCTGATGGAATGCGATTTTGGTTTGTTCATGGTGAGACGCGATTCTTGTGAGCTTGAATCGAAGCATCGCCATTGATGGAGACGAATGAGAGTTCTGAGATCCCAGACGATTCGCCATTTTCTTTTTTGGCGGGAGAGAGCTTTAACGGATTGAAAGAAAGAATATTGCAAAATAAACGTGAATGACTTTAGTAATCCGATTTTTTATTTTTTATTTCTTATTTCTTGATTTTTTTCCGGTAAATTAGGAATCTGAGTTATTTTCACACATACACACACAAAAAATTAAAATTAAAAATAATAATAATAATAATAATAATAATAAATTATCAGATTTATTTTCACAAATTAATTATACTTTTGGGTACATATATATAAGACCAATTAATTATCCTTTCTCACACTAACGGGTTTTTCTCCTTATTGGAATAAGTGGATGTGAAAGCGCCACGTCAATTAAAAATATTGAGTAGCTAATTTTTCACCATCTCTCTTAAAGTTATATTTTATATATATATCAAAACTTTAAACCTTATTTTCAAAATATGGTATAAGTTATTTTAATAGATAAGGTGGGTCTGGTTTAATATTATTTAACTCTCAAATTTGTGTTCTAGGTCGTCTTCCTCTCTTTCTTTGGTCTTGATATTTTATTTTGGGTTCCAGTAAAATTCCTTTGATTATCATCAAATTTGTTCCAATTGTCTGAACAATTGTTAGTTCATTCCAAATTCATATTGTTTATGTGGTTTAATTTGAATTCTTGTTATAACAGTCAATTCTCTTCACTTTGTTTAAAAATTGTAGGTTCATTGATTCGTAATTTGTTGCTCTAGCATTGAAGAAGAAGCTCAGTCTGTGTTGATGTTCTTCTCTCTATCTCTCCGTATCTGCTCCTTATCCTTCTTCTACTCAATTACGTACTACAATTACTCTCTTTAGTAGAATTTTATTGAGATTTTACTATAACATAAGCATGAAATAAAGTAGGTACTGTTTGGGATTTTACGTATAACACAAGTATGAAACAAACTACGTATTCCTTAGAATGTTAAATAGATTATAATTTGAAGTAGTGTTTCACCAATTAGAGTTAATGACCATCAACCAGTACGATTATAGTGATTATAATTTAAACTAGTGTTTCTCCAATTAGAGCGAATGACTATCATTCAGTAGGATTATGATATTTCTTTGATTAGAGTCAATAACTATCATCCAATAGGATTATGTTGGGATGTTGCGTATAAGTTATATTGATTTAAATTACAAACTGCTTGGATGTTATGTACAAAAGTATTTGCATATCATCCCGTAGGATTAAGTTAGGATTATGTTGGGATGTTGTGTACAATTTACATTGACTTAAATTACAAACTGTTTGCGATGTTTTGCAGTACATAAATAATTAAACAAAAAAACCATGCGAATATATTTGAAATTGCTCAGCAAATCTTTATATCTACTTTAAACCCAAACAATTTATGCACGAAGTAAACAAATAAACGGATGATTAATTTTTTTTTTTTTTCTTCAAGGTATCGCCCACTTATCTTCCTTCCTTCTTAGTAATTATTTTCCTTTTTCTACCGTTGATTTCTTCTGGAAATAAAAGGTTTTGTTTGTAAATAAAATAAAAATTTTGGAAATAATGTCTGCTCTTCTCTGTGCTTCGGTGTTGTTCGTTAATTTGGAATTAAATGACCTATGTCAATGAAGAAATAGAAGAAATTTATGGAAACACAGTAATGGAGGAATAGAGTTTGGGTTCTTTTTGGAAACAAATCAATATTATTAACTATCGCATCGCATTAGCTGGAAATTCAGAAGAGAGGGAGGGAGAAGGAGACGAAGTATTTGTGATGTATATACAATATATACGGCTTTAGTTTTTGTATATAAAAAGAGTAATGCTACAACGGGAGTGCTCTCATAGCATTACCCACGAGCTCTCCTCTTACTGGATAAGGATCTTATTGAGACTCGCAAAAGGCCAACAAACTCCGTTTATACACAACTCTTTCTTACTCTGCTCTTTTAGGCTATGTTTGGTACGGTGGGTTTGAAGGGAAATGATAACATTAGTTATGAAGGAAAGGGAAGAGAATAATAATTTAAACTCTTATTGTGTTTGGTTGATTAATGAAGGAAAAGAAAGGGGAGAATAATAATCATGTTTGGGAAAAGAAAGAGAAAGAAAGGAAAGGGAATTATTTTAATAAATTAACTATTATACCCTTTTATATTTTAATATATATATATATATATATATATATATATATATATATATATTCTCCTATACCTGCACAAGAAAAGAAAAAAAAAAAAATTAGAGCAAATCATTTCAGCCAAAAAAAAAATTAGAGCAAATCATTTCAGCCTCCCCAATCTTGCCTCAATCTCTATTATATATATATAGTATCTTATACCTGATGGGCCACAAAAAAAGAAAAAAAAAATTTAGGGCAAATCATTTCAGCCTCCCCAATCTCGCCTCCATCTCTATTCTCGTTCTCAACTTTGAACTTGCCCTCTCTCTCTCTCTGCACTACAAGAATCAGAAGTTCAAAACTCATATATTTTAGTTTATCTATCTGTCTGCAAGAATCAAAAGTTCAAAACCCGTATTGGTATATCATTTCAGATTGTTTAGAAAATCAAAACTCATATCTTTCAGTTTCCATCGCCGCTGTTCCAGTTCGGGTTCGCCGTTCGCAAGCTTCAGCCGCTGGCCCGTCGTCTCTCATTCTCTCTGCAACTGCTAACTTGTATGTATATTATTTTGCAAACTTGTGTAATCTTGAGGGTAAAATTGGCATCACAACTCCTCCATCAGCTATTGCCTTCACTTTCCTTCAATTTCCTCCCATTTTTGGGAGGATAAGAAAATTACTGTATAAACCTATACCTAACCCTCCAAAGCCTTCCTTCTCCTTTCTTTTCCTTCCACCCATTTTAGCCGAACACAAATTTTTAAACACCCTTCATCACCTTCCCTTCCCTTTCCTCCCCTTGCCATTGCACCAACTCAGTGCAATGGCAATGGGAGGAAATGGAAGGGAAGGTGATGGAGGGGGATTAAAAATTTGTGTTTGGCAAAAATTGTTGGAAGGAAAGGGAAGGGTTTGGAGGGTTAACACAAGGCTTTAACAGTAAATTTCTTAACCTCCCAAAAATGGGAGGAAATGAAGGGAAAGGGAATGAGAGGCTTGGTATGTGATTTCAGATGCCAATTTTGCCCTTGATTACATGTGAATTTAGTTTGCAAAACAAGAATTACAGACCTTGATTAGTTGATTTAGCAGTTGCAGAGAGAGTGGGGCAAGCTTGAGAGTTGAGAGAAAGAGGGCCAGCGGCTGAAGCTTGCAAATGGCGAACCCGAATTGCAGCAGCGGGCGATGGAAACTGAAAGATCGATATGGGTTTTGATTTTTTGAACAATCTGAAATGATGCCGATATGGGTTTTGAAGTTTTGATTCTTATAGACAAATATATAAATATATGGGTTTTGAACTTCTGATTCTTGTATTTGTAGTTGCAAAGAGAGAGAGAGAGAAAAAAAAAGAGGGCAAGTTCAGAGTTGAGAACAAGAATAGAGATGGAGGCCGAAATGATTTGCCCTAAATTTTTTTGTCATTTTCTGGTGGCCGATCCATGGGCCTTTATATAGGAGACAAATATATATATATATATATATATAAATTTATACTTTAAAATATAAAAGGGCATAATAGTAAATTTATTAAAATAATTCTCCATCCTATTATTCCCTTTCTTTCCCCAAACATGATTATTATCCTTCCCTTTCTTTTCCATTCAATAATCAACCAAACACGATAGGAGACTAAAATTATCCTTCCCTTCCCTTCACTTTCCCTCATAACTAATGTAATTCTCTCCCTCCGAACCCACCCTACCAAACATCGCCTTACTCTGCGCTCACTATTCCTCTCTTCCTCTGCTCACAAACCCAGATCCTTCCTTCTCCCACCTTCTTCGTCTTCTCAATTCTCATCTTGTCGGAACAGTTTCTTCCCGGCTTTGAGCTCTCCAACTCCATGGCACCCTCCGCATCCTCTCCGGCCAGAACTTCAATATCTTCTCCATCACCACCATCCTCATTGAAGTCCGGCGAGAGCATCAAATTTCACACCATGAACGCCGGCGAGAAGAACTTATCATTAGTGAAAAAAAAATCCCAAATGCCTCTCCTCTCTCCCCCTCCGAGGAGACTAACCCCAGCACTCAGTTAGCCTACCTTATTGGGGACTTGTGGAGGTGCTAGATTCATACCAAATTAGCGTGAGAAGGAATAGTTTTGATGTTGAAGAACAATTGAGACAAGATAGAGTTAAGCAACCTTGGTTTTTCCAATCTTTTAAGTCTGAACATGGCTTGAGAAAATCATTGGATTTGGTTTGTGTGGATTTTTCTTCTTCTTTGTTTGTGTGAGGATTGGTTTATTACTCTGGTTCTTGAAATCTATTACAATCTATTAAGGTGAATATTTCACTGAACTTCATGAGTCAATCATATCGGTACGGTGACATGCTTGTGGGTGATTTCCTTGTTGTCTTTGATGGGTTTTAGAGAGAGTTTAATGGATAGAGAAATAATGGTAGACACTGGCTTTTGGATCTGGGTTTGTGAGCAAAGGAAGAAGGATAGTGAGCGCAGAGGAAGAGAGAGAGTTGTGCACAAACGGCGTTTATTTGCCTTTTGCGAAGCTCGATAAAAACCTTATCCTACTGCTGCAAGAGGAGAGCTCGTGGGTACTGCTACGAGAGCGCCCCCGTTGTAGCATTACTTACATAAAAAATTACAAAAATTTTATCTTCTACAATTATTCTGTCTATTTACTCCGCCGGATGGATACTATGAGATCGGAGAGGATCCTGATCCATCTTTTCACTACCTTTGGAAGTGAATAAAGTGGGTGTATTTATTATTTGTAAGGATATTACAAAATAAAAAATAAAAAATTTTGTGTTGCTAATTATTCAAATACAATTATTTATATTATACTATATAAATTTCAATAAAAAAATAATTTTCATATATTTTTATATCAATAAATTATAATAGAATATTTACTTTTTAAAAACTAAATCAAGTTT